GCCAGCCGGTGCCCACACCGCAGGGAGGCGAGACTGAAGGAAGCACTTCCTTTCCCGTCTTCTCCCAACAAGGGAAACCCCCAATGACCCGACACAGAGAGGCCATAGAAACGTCTTTATTGAAGAGGACAGGAGTCATGCTGAGTTTGGGGACATGCAGTGAAGGGGCAGTCGTGAGCTGTCCTTGGTGGTTGGGGCCCCAGGTCTGCCCTGGACTCCCTGGGCCTTCAGGTTCTCCCTCGGGCTGTTGGTCGGGCCCAGGTGCTGTGGGGTCCTTTGAGGCCAGTGACTAGAACGTAGGTTGAAATCGGGGTTCCAGGATTTGGGATCCCCTCAGGGCCTTGGGGCCTTCCATTTACTAGAGATGGAGGCTTTAGGATTTGGGGTCCCCTTAGGGCTGGGGATCTTGGAATTTGGTGTCTTGAAATCCGTGGACTCAGGGCATTGAAATTCTCCAGTTTCCAGGGATGGGAATTCCTGTGTGGGGTTTCCTGGTGCCTGTCAATAGGGCTTGAGGTGCCTGGGAGCCTGGAATGCATATCCTGACTGCAGTCTCCTCCATACCAGGCACAGCGACCTCATGATTGGGTTTCCTGGTGGCTTGGGATTGGATTTTCAAATTTGGGATTCCCTGGGGATTTGGGGATTCCATGATTCGGTGGTCCTAGGAGTTAGGGCATTGGGGTCTTCTAGGGGCTGTAGGACTTGAGGGCACAGGGGAGTTTGGGATGTGTGTACTCTAGGGTTTGGGATCCCCAGAGTCCTAGAATGGGGCCTCCAAATTTTGGGGTTCCCCAAAGGGGGAAGTCGTTACTTAAAAAATAGATAATTTTCTGGGAGCCTGGCCAGCACAGGAGCTGTGGGCCATGTGGGGTGGGCTTCGTACAAGGCACTGGGGGTTTCTTGAGGGTGCAGAGGGTAGGAAGACTTGGGGGTCCTGTAATTAGCACTTCCAGGACTGTTTTGGTGTCTGTAAATTAGGGGTGACAGTGGGCTGGTTATGGTGGGTTTCTCTTGAGGGGTAAGAACAAGGGTCTTTGTTAATGAAGGCAGTCTCTGATTGAGGGGTTGGAGTGTAAGGGCTTCAGGGTGACCATGGGGTCACGACATCTTGAGGGGACTGATGTTAAATGGGGAACAATGACATGAACGTCTGTTACTCTTTTGCTTTGGGGGTGTGACCTATGTTTATTTCAAGAGGACTTAGTGGGGAGTGTTTGTTAATGGGGAAGTTTCTGATCCAGGGTTGGGTGATTCAAGAATGTTCTGTTGTAATGCGTTATGTGGAGAGGGTCACCATCATTAGGGGTGATGTGGAAATCTGTTAATCTGGGAATCTGCTCTGCGGGGTTGGGGATAGGGACTAGCCTGAAGGTGCTACTCAGGGAATCTCTTTCTGGGTGAAATGGGGTCTGTATTTGGGGGTTATTATGGGGCTATCTGTTAATAATGGGGCCTCAATGATCGAGGGCTGGCTAACAGGGGTCTCTACTCTGGATGTGTTACTGGGAATCTCTATCTCAGGGTGACTCAGGGCTCTTCGGGTGTCAGGAGATGCTAGTGGGGACTCTGTCTCTTTGTCAGGTGTCCAGGGCCTCTAAGACTGCATCTCTGCCCTCAGCATCCAGGGGAACCAGCAGCAGAACAGCAACCTGGAAAGGAGAATCACAGGGTCACACCCTTAGGCAGGCAGCGGGGACATCTGCACCCATCACCCCCAGCCTTTCCCCCAGTGTTTGCTATCAGGACTTTCTGGATTTTGCCTGTACCTCTCTGGCTATGGTTTGTTTGTTTGTTTGTTTGTTTGTTTGTTTTCTGAGACGGAGTCTCCCTGTCACCCAGGCTGGAGTGCTGTGGCATGATCTCGGCTCACTGCAACCTCTGCCTCCCAGGTTCAGGCAATTCTCCTGCCTCAGCCTCCCGAGTAGCTGGGACTACAGGTGTGCACCATCGTGTCCGGCTAATTTTTGTGTTTTTGGTAGAGACAGGGTTTTACCATGTTGACCAGGCTGGTCTTGAACTCCTGACCTCAGGTGATCCAGCTGCCTCAGCCTCCCAAAGTGCTGGGATTACAGGCGTGAGCCACCCCGCCTGGTCTGTAGCTGTTATTCTGAGGCTCGTGTGGAGGGAAGGGTGTTCTGCTTCCTTTACTGCCCCCCCCGAAAGTGGAAGTCACTAGAATTCAGTGCGGGGCCCTACACCCTAAAGACTGTTTCTGGGTATGCTAACAAGTTACAAGTTTTCCTAACCTCTCTTTCCAGCCCTGACCAGAGCTCCAGATCTCTGGGTCCAACTGCCTTGTGGATCCCTCTCCCTGAATGTCGCATAGGAGAGGGGATAGGGGTTGGCCACACACCTGGAAATGGAGTTCTCTGATGCAATGTCCTTTGGGGTCCGGACTGTGGTGAAGGTGCGTTTGGGCTGCGTCACTGAAGAAGAGGTCAGGATGTCAAGTGAGGGGATGACAGACCACCTGTGTCCTCAATACTCATTCATACTCCTTCTCATTAATACCTCCCCATGTCTCCAGCCCCTACCTGGATCTCACATTCCCAATACCCATCTGGGCCCCTTGTCCATAATTCCCACCATGTCCCCCAGTGACTATCCCTTTCCCCAGTATCTGCTCAACCTCATGTCCCCAAAGAGCCTTGTTGCTAACTTCCTCATACCCTTCAGCACCTATCTTTTTGGGGACCTTGTCTCATCATTTTCCTGGACCCTGTATCCCCCATTAAATACCAGAGACTGTCACCAGTATATACCTGAGAACCCAGGACCCTTCCTCCCATCCCCAAACTTACACTCCCCACATATCATCTCCCAACTCACTTGTCACTTGATGCACTTTTTTGGCTCCAACACTGTCCCCAGGGGGATCAGTGGATCCGCCAATCCTGAGGAGACACAGGGATGGGGGAGAGGTCAGAGCCACAAGAGGCCAGAGTCTGACTGGGGGCTGGGGGGTGTCCACACTGTCCTGCTGGTCTGGGAGGAGGAGGCCATCTGACGGGGGATCAGGGCTCCAGGTGGTACCCTGGGTTGGGGCTAGAAGTTTAGGCTCACCTCTGAATACGGGATGCTGGTGCGAAGACCCCATGCCTCGGGGGGCAAGTGAAGTACCGGACGCCGAAGACAGAGCCATCATGCTTGCCTGTGGGCTGGTCCAGCTCAATGCCATACCAGTAACCTGCAGCACAAGGGTGTCAGGATTTCTCAAGGCCCTGCCTGGCCCCTGGCCCAGAGTCCCCATCCTCACCTGGGGCAAAGTCTGTCTTCCCATAGAAGCGCACAATTCCCTGCTTCTGGCCCGCGACAAGGACCTGGTCTCCAACCTCAGCCTTGGCCCCATCCCGCTGCTGCAAGCTGCCCAGGGATGGGGATGATGGGGTCTTCTTCTTGCCTAAGGGAAGAAGGTGCAGGAGGTGCGTAGGGGGGTGATGCCAGCTTTGGGAACCCCAGGCCACCTGGAAAACCCCAAGGTAGAAACCCTGTTCTTGGTTTGAAGTGAAACTGAATGCCAGATGCCAGAGAATTAGGAAGGGGCTTTAGGCCTGAAAGGAAACCAAGTCAGAGAACCTGAAGAACCCCAAAATCCTTTCTCAAAGCTGAGGATATGTTGCATTAGGAAAAGCTGAGTCAGAAGTCAGGAACCCAGAAACTGTCCTTTTAAAATGAAGGGAGAGGCCGGGCGCAGTGACTCATGCCTGTAATCCCAGCACTTTGGGAGGCCGAGGCAGGTGGATCATGAGGTCAGGAGATCGAGACCACAGTGAAACCCCATCTCTACTAAAAATACAAAAAATTAGCCGGGCACGGTGGCAGGCGCCTGAAGTCCCAGCTACTTGGGAGGCTGAGGCAGAATGGCATGAACCTGGGAGGCGGAGCTTGCAGTGAGCCGAGATTGCGCCACCATATTCCAGCCTGGGCGACGGAGCGAGACCCCATCTCAAAAAAAAAAAAAAAAAAGAAGGGAGAATTTGGGTCTGAGAGTAAATCAGGCTGGGTGCAGTGGCGCAGGCGTGTAATCCTAGCACTTTGAGAGGCTGAGGCAGGCGGATCACTTAAGGTCAGGAGTTTTGAGACCAGCCTGGCCAACATGGCAAAACCCTGTCTCTACAAAAAAAATACAAACATTAGCCGGATGTGGTGGTGGGCACCTGTAATCCCAGCTACTTGGGAGGCTGAGGCACGAGAATCGCTTAAACCCGGGAGGCAGAGGTTGCAGTGAGCCAAGATCGCGCCACCACACTCCAGCCTGGGCAACAGGGCAAGACTCTTTGTCTCAAAAAAAAAAAAAAGTAAATCAAATGACCAAAGCCAGTATCTCCACAGATTCTTCCCTAAAACTGGGGGAGACCTTTGGGCCTGAGAGGAAACTAAGTCACAGAGGGCAGGGAACCCACAGGTCCTTCTAAGAACTAGGGGGGACCAGTACTGAGCCAAAGGGGAAACTGAGTCACAGAAGTCAGGAACTCAGAGCTTGTCTTCCAAAACTGGAGTTTGGGCCTGAGGAGAAACTGAGTCACAGAAGCTGAGCTACTCCCACAACATCCCCAAACTGGCTCTTCCCACCGCAGGGATCCCCTCTCTGACCTTTGTGTTCCCTGCGGCCTTTGCCGGTGACACGGGAGAAGTCCATCCGGGGGGTCCGGGGCGTAGAGGTGACAGAGGAGGGGGGTGCGTCCACTGCCTTGGAGATCTTGGACACGGAGGCAAAGAGACCTACGAGTACAGAGTTCGAGCCTGGTGTTGTCCAAGCCTCTGCCCTCAGCCCCCATCCCCCATCCCCTGTTTCCCAGTCAGCAGCATCAGAACTGCTGAGTGGACCCCCGGCCGCACCCCTCTTGGGCCCCAGGTGAGACTAACCCTGCTTGGGGGGGCAGATGAAGTACCGAACGCCCCCAACGCTGCCATCATTCTTGCCCTCAGGCTCGTCCAGCTCCACGCCCACCCACTGGCCGCTGGCAAACTCCGTGGTCCCACAGAACCGCAGTGTGCCCGTCTGGGGAGAGAAGGGAGGCGATGGCTGAGGAAGGAATGCTGGGAGGCCAACGTGGAGTGCTCGCACACAGGCAGCAAGGTAGGGTGCATAAGGCCACCCTGGGCCCAAACCCCAGGTCACACATCACCATTTGCTGGCTACATGAGTTAACCTCTCTGTGCCTCAACTTCCTTTGCTGTGAAATGGGAACAAATATACTCACCTTATAGGATTGTTAAAGAGTTGCCCTGTCTCATATAGTGAATAGTGACTAGCCACATAGGACAATTTAAATTTATTTATTATTATTATTATTATTATTTCAGACGGAGTCTCGCTCTGTTGCCAGGCTGGAGTGCAGTGGCAAGACCTTGGCTCACTGCAAACTCCACTTCCTGGGTTCAAGCAATTCTCCCATCTCAGCCTCCCAAGTAGCTGGGACTACAGGTGCACGCCACCATGCCTGGCTAATTTTTGTATTTTTAGTAGAGACGGGGTTTCACCATATTGGTCAGGCTGGTCTGGAACTCCTGACCTCAGGTGATCCACCTGCCTCAGTCTCCCAAAGTGCTGGGATTACAGGCATGAGCCACTGTGCCTGGCCAACAATTTAAACTTAAACAGGCTGCGGTGGCTCATGCCTGTAATCCCAACACTGGGAGGCCAAGGCTGGAGGATTACTTGAGGCCAGGAGTTTCAGACCAGCCTGGGTGAAAATGGCAGGACCCTCTCATCTTAATCTGTTCCAAAATACAAAGGCAGCAAGACCCTATTCTCTATAAAAGAAAGAAAAAAGGTAGCCAGGTGCAGTAGTTCAAGCCTGTAGTCCCAGTTACTTGGGAGGCTGACGTGGGAGGATCACTTGAGCCCAGGAGTTCAAGGGTGCAGTGAGCTATGATTGTGCCACTGCACTTCAGCTTGGGCAACAGAGCAAGACCCTGTCTCAAAAATAAATAAATGCATACCTTAGGAACAAGACTCAGATAATTTTTTAATTTAAAAATAAATAAATTTAGTCTGGGCACAATGGCTCACACCTGTAATCTCAGCACTTTGGGAGGCCGATGTGCGAGGATCACCTGAGGTCAGGACTTCAAGACCAGCCTGGCCAACATGGTGAAACCCCATCTCTACTAAAAACACAAAAATTAGCTGGGCATGATGGCGCACGCCTGTAATCCCAGCTACTCGGGAGGCTGAGGCAGGAGAATTGCTTGAACTCCGGAGTGTTGCAGTGAGACCAGATAGCGCCATTGCACTCCGGCCTGGGCAACAGAGCAATACTCTGTCTCAAGAAAAAACATAAATAAAAATAAAAATCAATAAATTTAAACTAAAAGTGCATTTCCCCAGTCACACTAGTCATATTTCAAGTGCTCAATTGTCACATGTGGCTTGTAGCTTACTTTACTGAACAGCACAGACACAGAATATTTCTACCATTACAGAAAGCTCTGTTGGACAGGACTGTCATAGAGAAATTAAAACCCTCGGAACAGGCTTGGCATTAAGTAAAGGATCAGCAAGTATTCGTTATTGAAAAATGGTTTTTTGCTGGGCGCAGTGGCTCACGCCTGTAATCCCAGCACTTTGGGAGGCCGAGACGGGCGGATCACGAGGTCAGGAGATCGAGACCATCCTGGCTAACATGGTGAAACCCCGTCTCTACTAAAAATACAAAAAACTAGCCGGGTGCGGTGGTGGGCACCTGTAGTCCCAGCTACAAGGGAGGCTGAGGCAGGAGAATGGCGTGAACCCGGGAGGCGGAGCTTGCCGTGAGCCGAGATTGCGCCACTGCACTCCAGCCTGGGCGACAGAGCGAGACTCCGTCTCAAAAAAAAAAAGAAAAATGGTTTTTTTCTATTTTAGAGACAGGGTCTCACCCTGTGGCCCAGGCTGGAGTGCAGTGGTGCGATTATAGCTCAGTGTAACCTCGAACTCCTGGGTTCAAGCAATCTTCCCTCCTCAGTCTCCCAAGTAGCTGGGACTACAGGTGCACACCACCAAAGCCTGGCTAATTAAAACAACAACAACAACAAAACTTTTCTAAAAAATAGAAATGGAGTATCCCCACCCGACGGGGCACAGCGATGGTGGGCCTCCACGCCCTGTAGGATAATCCCCAGTGCCACCTTTGGGAGGCCGAGGCGGGCAGATCACGAGGTCAGGAGATCGAGACCATCCTGGCCAACACGGTGAAACCCCGTCTCTATTAAATATACAAAAAATTAGCCGGACGAGGTGGCGGGCGCCTGTAGTCCCAGCTACTCGGGAGGCTGAGGCAGGAGAATGGCGTGAACCCGGGAGGCGGAGCTTGCAGTGAGCTGAGATCGTGCCACTGCACTCCAGCCCGGGCGACAGAGCGAGACTCCGTCTCAAAAAAAAAAAAAAAAGAAATGGAGTATCCCCATGTTGCCCCCCAGGTTGGTATTAAACTCCTGGCCTCAAGCAATCCTCCCCATCTTGGCCTCCCAAAGTGCTGGGATTACAGGTGTGAAGCCACTCTGCCCAGTCTGTTAGCTATTATCATGCTGTAACTTTGGTCAGGGGACTTCTTGAACCTCAGTTTCATCTGTAAAATAGAGATAGTAAGATACCTCATGGTGTGATTGTCTGATGGAAACTTTTTTTTTTTTTTGAGACAGGGTCTCGCTTTGTCGCCCAGGCTGGGGGTGCAGTGGCATGATCTCAGCACAGTGCAGCCTCAAACTCCTGGGCACAAGCGATCCTCTCACTTCAGCCTCCTGAGTAGCTAGGACTACAGGTGTGCGCCACCATGCCTGGTTAATTTTTTCATTTTTAGTAGAGATGAGGTCTCACTATGTTGCCCAGGCTGGTCTTGAACTCCTGAGCTCAAGCGATCCTTCTGCCTCTGCCTCCCAAAGTGCTGGGACTATGGGCATGAGCCACTGCATTCGGCGGAAACATTTTTAATACATGTAAAGTTGCTTAACTGCAGTGAGCCTTTAGTGAGTGTGGTTATCATCATTATGGGAGGCTCATTCATCTCTCCATGTCTCAGTTCCTTGTCCATATCATGGGCTAATTAATTAGTGCTGATCTTAGAGGGTTGGTGGAGGGACTAGAACAGTGCCTGGCACACACAAAGAGCATTTAGTATGCACTGGACTCTGTTCTAATGGCCTTACGCATTTTAATTAATTTAAACCTCAACCAGCCCCCCAACGTGGGTACTATTATTATCTCCATTTACAGATGAAGACATTGAGGCCCAGAGAGGCGGAATCACTGGCTCCAGGTCCCACAGCTGGGAAGTTGCAAAGCTGAGATTTACCTGGGCAAGTCCCTGGGCCTGAGCCCATGACGCTGTGCTATGCTGCTTCTCTAAGGGGCAGTGATTGGTATTCCATGTCTCCAGATAAAGATTTTCACCTGTTGGAGGCTTTTATAGTCTGGCTTACAAAATGGGAAGAGTCAACCCAAACTTTCAGAATTGTGCAATGGATACAATTAGATCGTGTACATCAGAATGCTTTCTGGATGGGGCCGGGCGCAGTGGCTTATGCCTGTAATCCCAGTACTTTGGGAGCCAAGGTGGGTGGATCGCTTGAGGGCAGGAGTTTGAGACCAGCCTGGCCAACATGGCGAAACCCACTGCTACTAAAAATAAAAATAAAAAATTAGCCAGGCTTGTTGGTACACACTTGTAATCCCAGCTACTCGGGAGGCTAAGACATGAGAACGGCTTGAATCTGGGAGGCAGAGGTTGCTGTGAGCCAAGATCGCGCCACTGCACTCCAGCCTGGGTGACAGAGCGAGACCCGTCTCAAAAAAACAAAAGCAAAAATCAAACTCCTTCCGGTAGCCTATAGGTCTGCTGTGACCCAGCCTTGCTGACCTCTCCACCTCCCCCCGCTTCCCATAACTCCCTCATCACACTGCCCCTTCCTGCCTCTGTGTCTCCATACCTACTGTATCCTCTGCTTCCTTAACTTTGCAGAGGAAGCTCTTTCCTGTCTTAGTTTGGACATCACCTCCTTAGAGAAGCCTTCTCAGAACACCCCAGCTAAAACCACCCCAGCATTCAGCCAGGGACAATTTACTAAATCCAAACATGTAATGGTGTTCACAGCCCTTGTTGCTACCAGAACTTTATTTATTTATTTATTTATTTATTTATTTATTTATTTATTTTCAGTAGAGGCGGGATCTCGCTATGTTGCCCAGGCTGGTCTCTAACAACTCCTGGCCTCAAGTGATCCTCCCACCTCAGCCTCCCAAAATGCCGGGGTTACAGGTGTAAACCACCATGCCCAACCCAGAAATTATCTCAACCATAGGTTTACTTTCTTGACTGTCTCTGCTTCATTACAAGTGGAGCTCCATGAGAGCAGGGCAGGGGCAGACACAGCCCTCCCTCCCTAAGGACAGACTGGGGTCCCGTATGGAGCCTGAGGGACACCAGGAAATGAAGTTGGAGTCCCTGGATAAATGAAGATTCTCTCTGCCCTCTGGGCTGTGATACCCGCTCCCCCTAGCTGAGACTCCTTTCTCCCTTTTTTTCCCTGGCTTGCTCCTCCACATCTGCAATTTGGGTGCATTCCCCATCACACTCCAATCACTCTGGCCTGGACCTTCCTAGCCAGACTTGCCTCTGAGAGCGAAGGGGCCTGATCGAGGACCACAAGACCCAGGGGGAGCCACAGGTGCACAGAGCTGCGCAGATCACTCTGCTCACCCCTCCCCATGGCAGCCATGACCGCTCTCGGCCGTCACTGTCAGATGATGAGTTGTTTCCCCCCCAGGATGGAGAGCTCAGCACAAGGTGAGGCTCAAAGGAGACACCACGGAACAACTGAGACGAAATCAAATACTGGGTGGATAGTTAGGACAGCAAGCAGACAAAGGGGACAGACTGCACTCTGCCCAAGGATACAGTTCCAAGGGATTAAGGGGCTAAGTCCCACCCCACCCACCACGCCAACACACACCCCAGCCCCTGACCTTCTGGCCATCCAGCAGCACGCGGTCTCCCAGGCGCAAGCCCAGTGCGCTAAGCATGAGATTGCCTGGGACGTTGTCATAGTTGGGTAGCGTGACCTTGGGGAGGGCGCAAGATAGTGGCACCGCCTCTTCCAGAAGCGTCCGCAGCTCCTTGGCCACCAGCGCCGCCTCTGCCTTGTCCAGGGACATGTCCATAGGATCTGGGACCACCTCCGCCGGCACCTGTCCTTTTCGATTCTGGGGGCCAATGGGAAGAGGGGGCGGGGACTCAGTGGCAGAGGCCACACCCCCATGGAGGCCCTGACCCTAGAGACCACCAGTCTGGGTGATGCAGGGTTAGGACTAGGTCATACCCTGGGCCAACCTGGGAATAAGAAGGGGCAGGGCAAGCCGGGTAACATGGCTCACGCCCATAATCCCAGTACATTGTGAGTCCGAGGCAGGCAGATCGCTTGAGGTCAGGAGTTCAAGACCAGCCTGGTCAACATGGTGAAACCTTGTCTCTACCAAAAATACAAAAATTAGCTGGGTGTGGTGGCGTGTGCCTGTAATCCCAGCTACTCAGGAGGCTGAGGCAGGAGAATCCCTTGAACCTGGGAAGCAGAGGTTGCAGTGAGCTGAGATCATGCTACTGCACTCCAGCCTGGGTGATAGAGCGAGACTCCATCTCAAAAAAAAAAAAAAAAGGTGCAGACCACATCCCCAGGGAAACCCACCCCTGAGACCTAGGGCTGGGGGTGTGTCAAGTAATTGAGGGTGGGCCTGGGGGTGTAGGCAGTAGGGATGAGGGCCACACTTCAGTGCTGCAGGTTACGCCCCCAGGGAAGCAATCTCTGGAGACCCCAAGCCTGTAATGAGGACATGTGGGAGATGTACATTAAGAATGGGTTCCTGTGGGCCGGGTGCAGTGGCTCATGCCTGTAATCCTAGCACTCTGTGAGGCCGAGGTAGGCAGATCACCTGAGGTCAGGAGTTCGAAACCAGCCTGACCAACATGGTGAAATTCCATCTCTACCAAAAATACAAAAATTAGCCAGGTGTGGTGGCGCGTGCCTATAATTCCACCTACTCAGGAGGCTGAGGCAGGAGAATCGTTTGAACCTGGTAGGCAGAGGTTGCAGTGAGCTGAGATTGCACCACTGCACTCCCGCCTGGATGACAGAGCCAGGCTCCATCTCAAAAAAAAAAAAAAAAAAAGAGAGAGAGAGTGAGAGTGGGCTCCTGTGGTATATAGTCAGGAGTCGAACTCTGGGCCAGTGGGGAATGGGGAGAGGCAGGGTCTCAGGGGCACAGGCCATGTTCCCCCAAGATACTAGTGCCTGGACAGCTGCAGAGTAATTAGCATTGTGGATGGAGCCTGGTAATGCATGGGTTGGAAATCAAAGATCATATTGAGGGCTTAGGAGGGGACCAACCCTCTCATTCACAGAGGGCCTAGCCTTACTTTCCTCATGTCCTTGAAATGCTGTTATGCACTGCCACGGGGTAGGCTGGATGACCCTGGGCAGATCCCTTAATCTCTGCCTCAGTTTCCCCATTGTAAAACAAGGCTTATAATAGACTTCACCTGACATGTAATGAACACTAGGCAAATTTCAGCTGTTACTGCATTTGCTGAATGTACAGACATTTGTAGTATCTGGGAAGTCACGGGAAACGCAGAGACCTGCTGGAGGGAAGTGGGGGAGGACGGGAGCAGGAGGGTAACGGGTTCTGGGCAAGGGTGGCAGTACCCTCAGTGCAGGGTTGGCGCCGTGCTCCAGCAAACATTTGGCGGCGCCCAGGCACAGGCTGGAAGCAGCGATGTGCAGGGCTGAGCCGTGGTTGAAGTCACTGCACGTGGAGTTCACCACTGGAAGTGGGCAAGAGGAGGGGTTCCGGGTGAGCACCTGTGGGACCCCAGCCCTCCTCCTACCTCGGGGCTCATCTCTTGACTTGCAGGTCCCAGAGCCTCCGACGCAGAGCCCCGCCCCCACCTCGGAGCCCCACTCTCCCTTCGCGGCCCCGCCCCTCCCTAGAGTGGTAGTCCACTGAGCCCCCTCTCCCACGCCTCCAACCTCCCGCTGTCTCCTCAGATCGCCATCCTCCTTTCCCTCGCAGCCTGGCCCTCACCTGGGTCTCTGCATCCCTCACCCAGGTCCTTGCCCCTCCCAGCCAGGGCTCTCCTCCTCACCTCGTGGCCGCGCGCCCTTCAGCAGCACACGCACGAGGTCGGGCACATCAAAATAGGCCGCGTAGTGAAGCGCGTTCATGTTGGTCCAGCGGCTGCGCAGGGTCACATCTGCGCCCAGCGCCAGCAGCTGCTGCGAGAGGCGCACGGCTGCCGCGGGGTCCCCTGCGCGATAGGCGGGATCAGCTTGGAACCCCCATTCCAGAGCATGGGCCCAGTGTACGGGGAGGGCCCTGCGCCTCAGGGACTATACTTTGGGATCTGAGGCTTCGGGTTCCAGATGGGGCCTGAGTTCTGGGTGGTTTTGAGTGTGTTGGGTCTGGGGGCCTAGGCTTTGGGGCTCATGACTTGGGGGTGGGGGCCCTCACCGACTCCGTGGGCCCCAGCCTTGCACGCATAGTGGAGCAGTGTCATGTCGGTCAGCCCGTCACGATCGTTCACATGGCAGCCTCGGCGCAGAATCTGTGAGTACCAGGGGAGCAGGGAGGGTCACCCACACATGTGGGGAACCGCATCCCCTCTCTCCCTGGTTTCCCCAGTGTTCTTACCTCATTGCCGATGACATCTATCTTGTGCTGGACTTGGGGCACCCACTGGCGCACAATGGCAAACAGCTCGGGGATGGTGGTCTGAGGGTCAAACAGGATCTCCTGGCACGCCGGGTCATTGGGATCGAAGAAGGTGAAAGCTGGGGTGGCAAGAGGTCCAAGGTCACCCCACGCAACTGACCCCCTCCTTCCAGCCTCAGTAGGGGAGCTTTGCCTCTTAGAGCCTCTAATGCGGGATCTCAAGCTGGTGGCACATGGGCCACAGTCAACCCACAGGCATTTCCTGTGTGGCCAGCATGAGGTTTCAAACTCAGGTGGGTTCACATAAAAATCTGGATGCCCAGTGTGTCTTGAAAAATTGGAAGATCAGGCAATTCCCATATAGCAGAAACTCCACCCCCTGAAACAAAAGCCGGACAGAGTGCAGTACCTTGGAGTCTGCATGTCCAGGGGGACTGCTACTGACCTCACCCACTGTTGCCCTGTGAGAGTGTGAGTGAAGTTTGGCTGAATCCCCAGAGCAAAAATAAATAAAGCCAGAAGTCCTGGTTTTTAATAAAACTCTCCCAATTGTTTCAAATACCATGTAGCCCACATAAAATGTATCCATGACTGGGCACAGTGACTCACATCTGTAATCCCAATGCTTTGGGAGGCCGAGGCAGGAGGATTGCTCGAGCCCATAAGTTTGAGACCAGCCTGGGCAACATAGCAAGACCTCTGTCTTTATAAAAAGTTTTAAAATTAGCCATGTGTGGTGGTGTGCATTGGAGCTACTCAAGGAGATTGAGACAGGAGGATTGCTTGA